AATTATCAACTACCATGTTGAATAAATTCAAAATTTTGCTTGATTATTACAAAAAGTTAAAACTCTGTTCAGCTGAAAATTTTATCACTGTTAAAATTTCATCTGAAAAAGTATTTCTGAAGTCTTACTGAAAATTTTTTCAGCTCCTTACCTTTTTCTTTATATACAGTTTCTTGTCCTGGGTTTCTTCCAACATAAACTCACAAGCCGTTCTGGACCAGGTGCTTTGGTCCCCTGCTGGAACTACCTCCGCCAGGTGACAAAGGAAGGAAAAAGCTGCATCCTGGGAGAAATCCTTCCTCAGGCTCCTTAACTCTGAGGTCTGAATGGTCTCCTTGAACCCAAAATCCACTAGAAATACCTAGAAAAATAAGTTATAGGAAATTCTATAAAACTATTAATCATCACAGTATAAAGAGACAAAAGATTTAAGGACCCTCTATACACTAGAGGAAAAATATTTTTTGGACATTGAGGAAATTATAGTGTGTAAAGGTGTAAGTATTGAGCTTATCTATCACATTTTCAATATAGGGTGCCTTGCATTTACCCCTAGGAAAAATGTTCAGACAATGAAGTACTGATGAACATAAATCACTGTTGTTTACTTAAAGGTGCTTAGACACAGATTCAAAGTTAATATTTACTCAAATTTTCTATATAATTTCATGACTTATATGTTGCTATAGTATTTCATATGAAAATTTGATAAAAATCTTATTTTATCTGGAAGTTATTGAAACTTAGAATTTCTGGGCGCTTTTTATAGACACATCCTTGCACTTTCACAAATTTTAACTTTATCCTTATTTACTTTAAAAAGGTAGCAATTTTATTGTTTATTAATGAAAAATATTAAAACTATAATGCAGAAATTTCAGAGTAGAAATGTAGAAAGCAAAATCCCCTCATCAGTATTGTCAGTCCGTGCTCAGTGGTGTGTGCAGAGTTTAACAATTGAACACACCAGGTGACATGTAAACATTAACAACAACAGAGCTCGTGCCCTGTTTAGAAAAAAAGTTTACGTTTCATGGGTGTATTCAATTTGTTAAACTCTGTACACAACTACACAACACTGAGCACGGGCTGACAATACTTAAGTGAGTGGGTTTTGCTTCGCACATTTTTACTCTGAATTTTCTGGATTATAGATGTAATATTATTCATTAATACACAACAAAATTGCTACTTTTCTTAAGTATTAAGGATAAAGTTAAAAATTGTGAAAGTGCAAGGATGTGTTAATCAAACGCCTCCCGAAATTCGTAGTTTCAATAATTTCCAGATTAAATAACGTTTTAATTTTATTTTTGTGTGAAATGCTGTAGCAACATATAAGTTGTGATATTATACAGGAAATTTGAGAAAAAATAAACTTCAAATCTGTGTCTATGCACTGCCTTTAAGTGGGCAAAATATTTGCAAATGAAGTGTTCTATCTATTCATCTTGGCCTATTAAAGTGTTGTGAATACTTAATTTGATCACAAATTAAGTAACAAGAGGCCCATGGGCCTTGAATCGCTCTTCTGATAAACTGTACAACCTATCACTTCTATTTGAAGCTTCGAAGTATCCTGTATATTTACATAAACCCTTGAAATTCCAATTCACACTCTGAGAACCCAAGATGATTCTATGCCAATTAGTACCTGAGAGTTGGTCATGGTGACCTACTTATCACTTGTCATTCTCTGAGGACCCATCAACTAAGTTTGATGATTCTAAGCCAATTAATACCTAAAATGTTTTTTAAAATTATAATCATAAAATTTTATAAGTAGGTCAAAGTGACCTACTTTTCAATTGTTTTACTCCAAGGACCCAAGATGCATCAACTGACAAGGTTTGATGATTCTAAGCCAATTAGTACCTGTAATATTTAATTACAGCCATAAATTTTCAAAAGTAGGTCACAGTGACCTACTTTTCAGTCAACCTACTCCGAGGACCAAAGATGCATCAACTGACAAATTTTGACGATTCTAAGCCAAATAATTCCTGAAAATATTAAATACAGCCATAAAATTTCAAAAGTAGGTCACCGTGACCTACTTTTCAGTTGTTGTACTCCGAGGACCCAAGATGCATCAACTGACAAAGTTTAATGATTCTAAGCCAATTAGTACCCGAAATATTTGATTAAAGCCATAAATTTTCAAAAGTAGGTCACTGTGACCTACTTTTCAGTTGTTGTACTCCGAGGACCCATGACGCATAAACTGACAAAGTTTTATGATTCTAAGCCAATTAGTACCCAAAATATTTTATTAAAGCCATAAATTTTCCGAAAGTAGGTTACGGTGACCTACTTTTTAGTCGACCTACTCCGAAGACCCATGACGCATCAACTGACAAAGTTTGATGATTCTAAGCCAATTAGTACCCGAAATATTTAATTAAAGCCATAAATTTTCAAAACTAGGTCACGGTGACCTACTTATTAGTCGACCTACTCCGAAGACCCAAGATGCATCAACCGACAAAGTTTGATGATTCTAAGCCAATTAGTACCTGAAATATTAAATATAGTCATATAAATTGAAAAGTAGGTCACTGTGACCTACTTTTCAGTTGACCTTTTTTGAGGACCCAAGATGCATCAACTTACAAAGTTTTATGATCATAGGACTTAAAATGTCCAAATTATGCCTCTAAAACGCTTTGAAATCAAATGCCTGCAAAGTTCAAAAAGTAGGTCACTGTGACCTACTTTTTAATAAATATGTTTAATGGCCCCAAGATGCATCATCTTACAAGATTTAATGATTCTAAGCCTCCTCGTATTTGAATTAATGACCTTAATTGTTTTAAAAAAGATTAGCCATAAAATTCAAAAAGTAGGTCAAGGTGACCTACTTTTTAGTTGACGTACTTTGAGGACCCAAGATGCATCAACTGACAAAGTTTGATGATCATAGGCCTTAAATTGTTCAAAATATGCCTCTAAATCATTTTGAAAAAGAATGGCCGCAAAATTTAAAAAGTAGGTCACCGTGACCTACTTTTGAGTCAACATGATATGAGGTCCTTAGATGCACCAACTGACAAGATTTGATGATCCTAGTCCTTATAGTAAGCAAAATATCAACATTTTAATAAAATGTAATTTTTGGTCAACTTTGTGACCTTGAGACCACGCCCTTTGCCCCAGGGTAAATCCCCGCGCAAATTTTAATCTACAACATATCCTCATCCTTTTGTTTAAGTTTGGTGATAATCTGCCCAGTGGTTCTTGAGAAGAAGATTTTTTAGCAACCAGTACTTTTTTTTCTATTTTCCTAATTATCTCCCCTTGTTAAAGGGTCACAACCCCAGTTTTAGTATAAAAGGGAGCCCTTGGGCCAAGGATACCCTGTGACAAATTTGACAATAATTGGCCAAGGGGTTCTTGAGTTATGGCCCATATTCTAAAAAGTTTACGCACACCGCACAAATGGCCATAGCATTAGCTCTTTGAGCCTTTGGCTCAGAAGAGCTAATAAACTTTATTATATACCTAACTGTTTGTCACTCAGTTTTACTGTTGAATTTATGCAATCACTTGACGGTGTGATCCGACGTTCCGGATCACCATACTGTGGTTTTCTGAATCCATATCACCCCTCTCTGAAACTGATGACGTAGCACACAGATAAATGACGTTTTAATTATGGGCATCAAAAAGTTCCCTGACAAATTGGTTTGTATAATGTATAAAAGTTATGTAATTGATCCAAAAAGTTTCCTTTTATTTTATTTTGCAAGTTGTAAAGGGGTATATAATAAATTTATCATTATAACAGTAACTTGATCCGAAGAGCTGTATCACGTCTCGTTGACAGGCGCGGATCATCAGATCAAACTCGACGCTTTGCGTCTCGTTTGATCTGATGATCCGCGCCTGTCAACTTGACGTGATATGGCTCTTCGGATCAAGTTACTGTTATAATAATATATATGTACATTCAATTATTTTATTCTTGACCAAAGAGCAGATCACTCTATTTGCATAAAAATACCACAAAATCAGAACTCTCTAGTGTGCAGTGTATAGAGGGCTCTTAATTTAAAATATTTTTTCCATTTTATTTTTCCTGTATACCCCCCCTTTTTTTTTTACAAGAAATTTTGCCATTAGTAACCTTGTATTTTAATGAAATGTTTCACTTAATATATTAGGAAAGTTGTACTTAAAGTTTCCACTTTAAAAATTGAAGTCTGGGTAGAGACATTCTAAAAGAAGCGAGATTAATTAAAGCATTGTGCAAATTGGCACTGTCAAATTTTCACAACAGGAACTGTAAATTAAAAAAAATAATAAAATTTAAACCTTTCATTTTCTATTATGACCTTATGCTACTTATTAATACTGAAAAATCTTCATTTTTAAAATCCTTTTTTTCCCTTCCAACCAACACCAATTTTTAAAAATTTTAAAATTCCATAAACAGAATTTAAAAATTTCAAATATAGCTTGAAAAGTACCATTTGTATTTTGTCTTCAGACCAATCATGTGAAGCAAAATCAAAAAGTGGATAATAGAAAGTGTTGATAATCAAACAAACTTTCTAGACCATTTATAATGCAAATAAAAATTGGAAATAGAACTTTAGGGATTATTACAATATGTGAAAAAATGAAAAAAATAAAAATAAATAAATAACAAAAAAAAAAAATACTACAAGATCTAAAAATACAGACCATTTACTTAATTTCCAGAGGGGCATAATTTACAAATTTTTATTCTATTGAAAATTCCTTTGTTATATAATTGTATCCTCAGTCCAACAAACATTCTTTATTTCTTTCTTTAATGTTAGAGAGTCTTAAATTGTTTAATCATTAAAAAAATCCTTTCTCTTTACCTTAAAGTGTGCAAGATTGAATTATTTTTGTGTGTGGACACAAGCTTGCATATATACTTTTGTACAACTCTCTACAAGAAAATGATGCAACCACTATATATACATGTAGCTATTTTTGGACAGAGCTGTAGGTTTGTTTACAACACATGCGGCATCAAATTTCCCTCCAACAAGAACATGGCTGCAGTGATGGAGAGTAATATTGGAGGGAAATGTAAGAAACACACAGAGACAATCCAGGGCTTGTGTGACACTTGTGATGAGGTGGTGTGTGTCAAGTGTATGATGGGTCACCATAATGGACACACATTTACCGACCTAGAAGCCAAGGTAGAGGAGAAAAGGGGTTCCCTACAGGACCACATGCTGGAGATGAAGAAGAGAATCCCTGTGTTACAACAGAGGGTGGCTGAACTATCCATACAAGATGATAAGAACCAGAGAGATACAGAGGCTGTCATAGCCAGCATCACACAAAAAGGTGATTTTTTTTTTTTAATTTATTGATTAGAAGCTTTACATTACATCTGATTTTCTTCAGTACCATTTTTTTTCTTATTGGCTTCATGGATATATTTAGAATAGATGTGTAGGAGTGCCCTACAAGCCATCTGACTTTATCAATTTATGCTACGTAGAGGAGGGGGGAATTTTATGAATCATGCATTTAATTTGTTTGTATTTAACTCGATCAGCTAGTACACAGAGCAAACAATGCTTATAATTTTTTGTATCTCTCCTTTTTTTTTCTTTTTTTTTTTTTTTTGATTATAAAATAAAATTTTACAAGATGAATACATTTTAGGCCCAATGTTTTGGAATTTCATAATTTATCATTTACATTTACTATTAAAATGCATAAAGGACTTATCATAATCATGATTTTATGTAGCATGCCTGAACAAACAAACAGTTTAACAGTTAAAATTGCAAAACATCTTTGTAAGATAAGTCAGAAAAAATGTGTCAGAATAAAAAAAATCCCTTAAATCTTGCAGGTGAAAACATCCGCAGCAAACTAGATAACATAATCTCAAGCCTCATAGCTAATGCAGAAAACCAGCGAAAAGACACAGCGAGACAACTCAGTGGTACACAAGAAGTAACAGAAGACCTCATAGCAAAAGGGAACTCATTTCTCGAGAGCGTTGAGAACAGGCTCAAGCACAGTTCTCACCTCGAGATCATTCAGTTAGAAAAAGAATGTGCTAAGCTTTTAATGAAAATGTCCGAGGATCACCTGATTTTCCACGTGGCAACTCCACGATTTGTTGGCGGGGAGGAGAGTGTTGAGAAATTGCAATCAATGGTGGGAGACTTCTATTCGGACCTTGCATCTTCACTCAAACTCATGAGTTACGTCAGAATTGACTCAACACTGACACCTTGTGAATCTGATATTTTCATCTCCAAAATCTGCCAAGTCGGCAACACAGAAGCCTGGGTAAAAGGTTTTAGAGAGGATGAACTCAAAATGTACAACAAACAAGGGAAACTGCTAAAGACACTGCCTTTGAAACCAACATGCCATGATTTTGCCACAACCAAAAGTGGCTTGTTAATGACAGTTGACCCCAAAATGCGCTGTGTTCAAAACTTAAGCTCGGAGGGAGAATCTACAACACTGATAGACTTTCCAGAAGGTTTGTTGCCTATCAGTATATATGTGAACAGAACAAGTGGAAACTTCCTTGTTGGATTGGTAGACAGTTTAAAATACTCCATTGCCTCTGCTCAAAACACACGACTCCTGAAAAGATTCTCTTTTGATGGACAGGAACTACAGACAATACAGTACCAGATCAAAAAGTCTTTCTTTGGTCGGCAGACATCATCCAATATTTTCAGCTACCCCTATCGTATAGCTGAAAACGAACAAACAGGAGACATCGCAGTCATTAACTGGACAGGGGATTTCACTGGCGAGCTTGTGGTCCTCAGTAAAGATGGAGAGGTGATCTTTAGACATTCACAGACAGAAGATGAAGACACCTTTAGTCCCTGGGATGTGGCCTTTGATGTCCTAGGAAATATTGTCGTGAGTGACCGATACGGCAGGAACATTCAAATGTTTAAGATATCGGGAAAGGCCAAATGTATCCTTCACAAGTGCAGTTACACACCCCATGCTATTGAAGCTTTCCCTGATGGCAAGTTGTGGATAGGGCATTCTAATGGGAAAATCAGCATTATCCAGTATATGGAATAGCAAAATCATTGTTATCCAGTATATGGAATAGCAAAATCATTGTTATCCAGTATATGGAATAGCAAAATCAGCATTATCCAGTATATGGAATAGCAAAATCAGCATTATCCAGTATATGGAATAGCAAAATCATTGTTATCCAGTATATGGAATAGCAAAATCATTGTTATCCAGTATATGGAATAGCAAAATCATTGTTATCCAGTATATGGAATAGCAAAATCAGCATTATCGCAAGAATTTGTGATATTAATTCCATGCACATTGTTGCTTTGGATTTTAAAAATTCTGGTTGTGAAGGGTATTCAGCATTTTGATTATCTTCCACTCTGCCTGTCTGCAGGAAGCAAGGCAGGGGTACAATGAGAAACTTTTTAAGTTAAGATTTCATATTTGTCACACTAAAAACTGCACAATGTAGATTGACATTTCTTCATAAAATCTTTTTCAAACCACACACATGGTTTAGATAATATGAATTCAACATCCAACATTCATTCAGAATCTGTAGGTTGAAAAAGTGAATACAAGTGCCAACATTGTGATATATTGTACTGTAAACATTGATCACACATGCACAAGTACCGACTTAAATTGCAAATTTGCTATGCTGATATTTTTCATGATAATGACAAATAAGAACATTTCATCATGCTACTTAGTTTTAGGTAAACCATGTAAACCAAGGCTTATTATCTGTACAGTTTTCTTCATAATTTCTTAATCAATGTTAATTATTCATTTTCCGATAAATCTGAAACTGAAGTTGTTACAAGATTTCAAGAGTAAGGAACTCTGCTAATAAATGAAAAAAAAAAACCCACCTTGGTTTCCTTTATCTTTACCTGAATATTTTCTCCCCTTAAAAATGGTATACCCAATTCTTGGGGGAGATTATCAGATTTTCTAACTAGACTAGCTTTTAGAGTTGGGTATTGTGATATATTGCAATATTTTACAGTCCCTGAAACGTTCTACTTTCCCATTTTTCCGTTCGTTCACCGTGCGTTCACCGTTCGCTCTCCGTTCACAGTTTTGTGTTCAGCGTTCACCGTGCGCTTGCATTCACCGTTCACAAAGCGTTCACCGTTCGCTCTTCGTTCGTTCACGTTGCGTTCACCTTGCGTGCAGCGTTCACTTATCGTTCAGTCTTCAGTGTCATTCGGAACTCCGAAGTGAAAGGACTTATCTTTTTTAAGTAAGGATTTACGGGTTTTGAATTTAATAAATAACATACCATGTTTAAAGAATCATTATTTCATGGGGAAAAAATTATTTATTTTTATTATACTAACTTAGCTGTTAGGTTATTTATAAAATTTATCTGGAAAATAAATGTTGTTATAAGTACATGTATGTACCTATGTAGAACGATGCTGAAAACTTAAATTTAAATACGGGCAAAATACTGATGCTTCAAGCACTGCAACATTTTGTTGTTATGTTAAAGACGACAAATCGTTAATGGATAGATAATAATCAAAGTCAATTAATTTACCAACTGCAGCAAAAATACGAAAATATTTATTTCTATCACATTTTTTTCAAATAATACAGAAATACGTTAGAACTTGTTCTGAGAATGATAAACAGTACTGCGGATATCGATCCAGTTAATCAAATATCTTTAGAGCGAATTAAATTGATAGTGTGGTATAAAAAAATATTTGTTTAAAATGTAATACATTAAAGATTTTTTTTTCTACTTTACCTATATATAAAGTCTTTAATTAGAGAGAGAGAAATGCCTTTATAACATGATTATCATTTATATAACCAAGGTGATTCTCCATTAATGATATTTTTCACCGTAACTTTATATGATTGTCATTCAATATTATTAAGAGCCCCCCCCTTTCCCCTAAACAGTTACTTAGTTAATATTTCCAGTATATTTTAATTAACATTTAAAAAGAAGTTAATGTGTTTTGAAGCACAAAAATTTCAGTCTCCAAACAAACACGCATCTAAACAAAGTCATTAAACAATAGTAGTTCAAAATATACATGTGCCGGCGGTGATATTTTAAATTGGCATGGAGTATGTTTCAAATTCAAGCGGCTTAATTATTCCAAGTATTTATTCCCAATGTATTTTATTTATATATTTATTATTATTTTTTTTTTTAGAAATGTTGGAATCAGATCTAGAAATGATAAGAAAAAATGTTAAAACTTCTTGGAAATACTAACACTTTGCCTTCGGTGTGACGAGACTTTCACACCTGCACAGTGTCGAATGATTCTGATTGACAGGTCAAGCACGTGGACTTCGTGTGAACTTGAAGGAGGAAAATAAAAACTGATTATGACTGTAAAACAAATGGATTTTTGTTGATAAAAAAAAAAAAATGGTTACTTTTACTTTCACTGCCTGATATATTTAGAAAAAATAAAAAAATTTAGAATTTTTGTTTGATATAGGTACAAACATTTGAGGAAGGGAGGAGGGCTAAAACCGAATCTCTCTCTCTCTCTCTCATTTGTCTGTTTAATAAAAACTATGACAGCATATTACTTAAATATCTCAAGTTGTGAAAATTTAATGTATAACAAATAATATGATTGTTTCTTTGTATCATCTTGTCCGATTATAATCACGGCCGGGAAATGTCTACAGATACATGTAGAAGTCTGCTCAATAAATCATCATAAAAATAAAACTGACACATAAATATATTAGTGCATTAAAATTTTAAAATACGAGTGTATTTATGCAATACGTCCACATACCTTTGTAAATTTTTTTTCTCATTATTTTACACGGAATCGCCTTGTATGGTTGTTACAACCATTGTAATTCATTCTATAAGTCCGTAGTTTTCTCTTCTAAAATCAACATTATTTGTAATGGTTCTATATATCAAATAAGAAAAAAACATTTATTTTACAACTAGATTAATTTCATCTGTTATACTACAGCGTTCGGTAAGAATTACAATGTTTTACAGCGATAAAAATCGTGTTATCAAAAAGTTGAATTTAAACATCGTACATATGTTCAGAAAAAATTGTAAGAAACTTAAATTAATAATTTTACTTAATGTGCATGTATCGTCTTTCTTAGGACAATTTTCATTGATTTGTTTATTTATTTATTATTCATTATTTTTTTTTTAGCACCAGGCATTAGAATACAATAGAATAGTTTCAATGCAAGGAAAAGATCAGAGGCATTCCGAATAAATCGTTCATCTTGCGTTCACCGTTCGTTCACCGTTCACTTTGCGCTCGCGTTTGCGCTCCGTTCGCGTTCTGCGTTCGCTCACCAAGTTGCGTTCAGCGTTCACACATCGTTCACTCACCGTTCGCTCTGCGTTCGTTCAGCGTTCGTTCACCGTTCAAGTGGGAAAGTAGAACGTTTCAGGGACTGTACTTTGAATATTGCAATATATTGCAATATATTGTAGATTAATTATCATCGATAAATTTGAGCAGAGACTTTGAACTGCTATCAAGTTCAAAGACTATTTGAGTTTATCTTTAAATCTTAAAGGGGAAAATAAGACATTGCAAGTAATAATACTTTACTTTTAATCAAATACCAGGTAAAATAATGAAACAAAATGAACTCTCTTGGATCTTCACATTGAAAAAAAACTGATTCAGAAGTATATAATTGTATATAGTCTTATAACATTTTATCTCTGTCTTTATTTTTATTAATTTTCCGGGGGGGGGGGGGGGGGGGGGGGGGGGGGTAACATAAAATGTCACTTAAAAATCAAAAGAACACATATTATATGAAAATTTTATTATGATCACAGTCAGCAAGGGCCCCGCCGAGGGGTAGAAATATAAGGGTGCAGCTTACAGAATGATAATTTTGATTACAAAAATTAAAAAATATATGAAGAAGAATATGCAATAACAACTGTATTTATAAAATTTCAAGATAATTCATAAATATCCAACAACCTGTAAAGAGTATCCCTGTATTTACATATTAAGGCAGTAAAAAACATCATATCTATAATTACTCAATTAAATGTATAGTTAAACAAGAATAAAGCATGTGTTTTTTAAAATGCCAGCCTTCAGTGAATGCAAATATCACCCAGGCTTGACCTCAACAAGTGACAAATAAAGATAAGCCTGGAAAATTTTCTGCCCCAGACAAGATAATTAATCCCCTAATTGTACTGCTCTCTCATTTTACAATAAGAACTCTTCAGTTTACAATAAGAACTTTTCCAGTAATGATGGAATGAGTTTCTTATCAGACTACGTGATAAAATTAATAGTATTCTTGAATTTATATACAGCAGCCAAAAAAAAAAAACAAAAAAAAAAAAAATGAATAAATAAATAAATAATAAAAAAAAACAAGAGGCCCAAGGGCCTTAACGGTCACCTGAGTATAATACAACAATTTAGAAGTTAAATACACTGATAGATGAAGCATTGTTGCCCTAGCCCCCCCCCCCCCCCTCCTCAAGAACCCCAAAAACTGAGGCCATATATTTAAAAATTTTGGAAGAGGCATCCTTGTCTATCATAATCATGCACTTAGTTTGTTTAAATAATCTCCAGTAGCAGAGAAGAAGTTTTTCAAAGAATCAATGCATTTTCACTATATAATCAATAGAGCCCCGCCCTAACACCAGAACCCCTGACCCTGGGGCCATGAAATTCACAATTTTTGAAAAGGCATCCCTATGCGTTTAAATAGTCTCCAGTAGCAGAGAAGAAGATTTTCAAAGAATTAATGCATTTTCACTATATAATCAATACAGCCCCACCCTAACACCAGAACCCCTGACCCTGGGGCCATGAAATTCACAATTTTTGAAAAGGCATCCTTATGCATCATAATCATGCACTTAGTTTGTTTAAATAATACCCAGGAGCAGAGAAGAAGATTTTCAAAAAATTAAAGCATTTTCACTATATAATCAATAGAGCCCCGCCCTAACACCAGAACCCCTGACCCAGGGGCCATGGCTTTCACAATTCTGGAAGAGGCCCACCTCCTCATCATAACTATGTACTTAGTTACTTTATTAAATACCCAGGAGCAAAGAAGAAGATATTCAAAGAATT